TGCAACGATTGAAAGATTTGCGACAATTTAATGTCTCGGCGAATGAGGTTATAGTAAATGACACCATAATTATCGTATTTAAGTAAACATTTGTTGCCAAACGTTGAGCTCATTTTGGCCTTTAATTGATCGATAATCTCTTCGTTGGCATCTTTTCTCACTTTTAACATAATATCGTATCCTTTGGCAAAAGAAGTCTTCAGTTGTGAGACATAACCGACAGTTTTGATGACACCCTTCGAGACGATGGCTAAACGCGAACACAAAGCCTCGCATTCACTCATATTATGAGACGTTAATAGTATCGACACTTTGGAGGTCGACATCAGATCTCTCAGTAGACCCCAAATCTTGAGCCTCGAGTCCGGGTCCACACCATTGGTCGGCTCGTCTAATAACAAGAGTCGAGGAGTGCCTATGAGTGCGACGGCCAGCGATAACTTGCGACGATTACCGCCGCTATAAGTGGACAATCGGTTATTGATAATACGGTTCAATTCAAACTTATCGGTTATGTGTGCTATGAATGTCTTCAACGCATTCCTCTCCAGACCACGCAATCGGCCGAAGAAGAGGAGTGTTTGCATTCCCGTCAGTCGATCCAAAAGGGCGTCGTTTTGCGGACAATAACCGATTCGTGAGTAAAATGTCTTTTTGTTGTTCAATAGGTCCGCATCGGAACCCAAGTACGCGTTTCCTGAGTCTCTGTCCAAATCTCCGGTTAGTAAACGAAAGGTTGTGGTCTTTCCCGAGCCATTGGTCCCCAAAAGACCGAAACATTCCTCTTTGTTGACCATAAATGACAATTTATTGGGAATTATCACAGATTTGCTAAACTTTTTGGTCAAATTGTCGGCAATCAGCGAAACGTTATCAAAATTTCCATTTCTAATAATTTGTGACACATTTTCATATTCCTGTCTTAGAGTCCGGTTTTCGTCGACGTCTTGGAGTTCATGGATATTATTTCTGACCACTTTTTGACCAAAAATACGCTTAAATATGCGGACAAACAATTGATGCACTTTGATCTCAATGGCTAATATAATAACCATATAGAAAAGGCCATAAAGTATAAAACGGATGTAATAGCCGGTCATATAAGTGAACGGATTTAAGTGTTGATAGCAATCGGTATTAAAACTGTCGATACGAAGCGTGTGAACCGTTTTCGCGTAAAACACCTCATATTCCGTGTAATTGGACTCACATTTCGGTAAACAACAGATATTCCTATCGTTAGGCTTATCGGACGCACACGAAGTGTTGGCCAAACCTTTCGCTTCAAACACTTGACAATAGTTATTGTAAAGTATTTGATTCAAAGAAGTGATGCCATTGAAGAATAGTGTGACGGGTGTTAGAAATGAGATCATTTCGAGCCCATAATAGTACATAAATGTCTTAAATTGTGTCTCAATTTCGTATAAATAAGAGTATCTATAAGTGAATCCAATCTGTATAGTGATAGCCATTGTGCCGATTATTATGTTATACAACGATATGAATGTAAAGCCGGTCGCGGGCTTTGAGAAGACAAATGATACTAAATATGCGAATGGTATAAATGTTAAGCCATATAAAACAAATGTCAAGTAGAGTGTTATCATTGAATAATTGGATCCAATAAAGTATTCGTTTGTGTCAAACACGAGATAAACCAATACATAAACGAGTGAACACATAGAGTGAACCGTAAAATCAAACAACAAGTTTGCCGACCAATAGACGACCGGATTTAGACCAGACATGAGTTGAAGTAATTTGAATTTAGTCCGCCATTCAGTGATCGGCAATAAGACATATGAGGCTGTGGTGAATGTGAATCCGCACAGGAATACAGTGTAATATGTATTAAACCGGATTCGCTGTCATTGTGGCCATTGTATCGATGAAAGCGATGGGTTTTGGTCATCAGTACTTCGCGGGACAGACACCCATCTATTGGCTGCTCTACTCTACGGTTGTATTTATGATTGTCTGCATTATTGCGCTTATGATTCAGTATTGGCTCTCATTTCGCAATTGTTTCAAACGCTGGCAGAGAAGACATTTCGATATCTATTTAGTGCAAAATTGATGCACAAATATTGTGTCTCACATTTAAGTGTGTAATAAATCGGTTTGAGTTCAAACTTAAATTTTAGTACAAATTCAAAATTTTTTTATGAATTATCAATACAACAATCGACCAGAATTTTTAACACTACAATTAAATTTAAATATTTTATTTATTTATAAAGGGGTTCAAAAATGTTTCACTTCGTGAGCACTTAGCCCTTATCACTGAAGATATGGACGACGACGACGACGAAGATATTGCGGACTTATTTGAAGAAGAGATGGAAGTGTTGTTTAAAGAAGTTAATGAAGTGAATGTCAAGAATGGGGGCAAAGAAGGGGCTAAAGAACAGACCAAAGAGGAGGCCAATGGACTCAAAGAGTGTCGTATTTGCAAAGAAGACGACAGGAGTGAAGCTTTGATGAGTCCGTGTGTCTGTCGGGGAACTATGGCTTACGTGCACTTCAAATGTCTGTCAGAACTGATCCGAAGGCAACGGCAAACGATATGCCAAATATGTAGAACTCTATTCAATGTGAGAGTTGACAAAATTGGACACAATTTCTTCAAATTCTTGATCGACAGTCCGAGGAATAGAATGGATCTAACGGTCATCCTATTGGTGAGTGGATTCGTTGTGTTGTTTGCAATAATATCGATGAAAATTGTGAGTTTTTCGCACCGATACTTTACGGGACAGGCGTTCATCTATGGTCTGCTCTGTTCGACGGTTGTATTCGTCAATTTATGCATTTTTGCGATCATTATTCAGATATGGTTTGCATTTTGTCATGAATTTAAAGAATGGCAAAAAAGAAATTATGATTACGTTTTAGTCCGCAATTGATTCACTCTTTTGGTCACAGATTGTTATAATAAATGAGTTTTACATAAAAATTTACTTTTAATGTTAATATTTTTTAAATCTATCAAAATATAATTGTGACAAAAGTTGTTTTGATATAAATAAATGAATAAAACATTTTGTCAAAATAATTGACAATTACTTTAATGACTAAACATGTATGGTTTGAATCATTATAAATGTTTATAAATACAAATCAATAAAACAATTTAATAAAGTGTTAATTAATACACAAATGTATGAATGAATGAAACGGTAATTATATCAGTATAATAGTATCAGTAGTTGGAAATGGATTTGACTTTAAACTTCTGTCCCTTAACCAGCGATTGGTAATACTTCTCTCCGGTGTCGTCATCGGCGGTGTTGTCCTTTGGAAGGGGTTTGACCACAGGTTTGACCGCAGGCTTGGCCTCAATGCCCTTGTATTGGGAGACGGATCGCACGGGTTTCTTACCATCTGTTAGGAATTTATGATAGGAATCGCCGACACTATTGGGGTCTTTAGAAACAGCGGTTGTTTTATCCTTTTTGAGATCCACTGTTTTGGTCGGAACTGCCTTTTGAGAGGTTATACCGAAAGCGCATTCAATAACCAAAACTATCGGCAAATAAATGGCTACTAATATAACGATTGCCAGAATGACGGCTAACGCCCAAAACCACACGTATTTGTCTTCAATATCTTTGTCGTTATTCCACCGATTGATGGCATTATAGACACCAAATATACCAATAACTAGTCCACTGATGACCACAAAGATTAGGTAAATATTGCGCAAAATTGTGCCAAAACTATCGGCTTTGAGTTGAGATCGAGGTTTGATGAAAAACCTGAAGATTAGTATTAAGAAGAGGAATACAGCGGACGCCACGGAACTATTGACAAGCGCTGTGTAAGCGCTGGACAGCCACTGATTGTGATAGTCTTGACAGATGTGAACATTCGGTGTAATGTCTTTTGTCGGACAAATGACTACAAAACCGCACAAAAGTAACACCAGATTAACGGCAAACCAAACAAATGCCGTCAATTCTTCGCAATCGATAACTTGCGGCGAAACGCCTAACCATACTATGGGTCGGTCCTCTCGAGTGGCCGCCGGAAACAATTGCTTAATCTCTAACTTATCGGTCGTCAGATTCTCAATGTATTGGTTGATGAAAGCGATGTTGGCTTTGGTGTCGTTGGACTCCTGTATCTCAATGGTGTTGATATATATTGTGCCGACACTCGTGTGGTTAACCATTAGTCTCACAATTTGGGGGAGACTCGTTGACCGCAACAGTTGAAACTCAATGGTGTACTTATGGGCGCCCTTATCATTGATTGTCTCAAATTTGGCCATTATTTGGGGTGTGATTGTGAATGCGGAGAGTTTTACGTCGTTTTGGCCCAACACTTGCACATTGAGCCGAGCCGTCGATTTCTTGTACGCTTTCTTAGAGGCGCCGAAGTTTACGCGAATTATATACACATATTTAGCCGTAGATTCTTTACAATTATTGTAAATCTTTTCCATTGGCTTTATTTTATGAAAACACAGAAAGATGACCATGGTGATTGCTATAAATGTGACCCAAATCACAGATATCACTGTTAGGGGCACTGAATATGCGATTGACATAATAGAGGCTAGAGATCTGTTGTCTGAATAAATGGCAAACAAACTATCAATTGATTAACGAATTAATTGATTTAAATGATTGAAACAATTGATGAAATCGCGGTTTAATTTTAATTGTTGTCAATTATATATACATTTTTAATAATTATATGAATTGTATAATTGATTGTTGTCTTTAATTTTTTGTCAAATTTAAGACACTAATTATTGAGATTATATTTTAATTTAATTTATAGTTAGTTTTGTGCCCAAAAATATTAAATAAAAATTACAGTATTTAATTAATTTTGTATTACAAATTATAACAAATTATAATTATTAACCACAAATTTAAATTTAATTATTTTATTTCCATTTTTAAATTCAAATTTAAATACAAAATCAATTGAATTGTAATTTGCAAGTATCTCTGTGTTCAGTAAAGACAAAAATGATATTGAGTTTTACCAATTTATACAAAAACTAATTTAGTAATATAACATGGATGCAAATGAATAATGTAATGTATCATATTTTTATAACGATGTTAATATATCTGTGAGTATCCGACTTGTGGTGACCTCTCATTTGAGGCCACAATCGAGAGGAATGCCTGTTCGAGACTAGCGTTGGCCACGAAGTAGTCCTCGAACTCAAACTCGTGTTTCAATGTTTGCAACGATTGAAAGATTTGCGACAATTTAATGTCTCGGCGAATGAGGTTATAGTAAATGACACCATAATTATCGTATTTAAGTAAACATTTGTTGCCAAACGTTGAGCTCATTTTGGCCTTTAATTTATCGATAATCTCTTCGTTGGAATCATTTCTCACTTTTAAGATAATATCGTATCCTTTGGCGAAACAAGTCTTCAGTTGTGAGACATAACCGACTGATTTGATGACACCCTTCGAGACGATGGCTAAACGCGAACACAAAGCCTCGCATTCACTCATATTATGAGACGTTAATAGTATCGACACTTTGGAGGTCGACATCAGATCTCTCAATAGACCCCAAATCTTGAGCCTCGAGTCCGGGTCCACACCATTGGTCGGCTCGTCTAATAACAAGAGCCGCGGAGTGCCTATAAGTGCGACGGCCAGCGATAACTTGCGACGATTACCGCCGCTATAAGTGGACAATCGGCTATTGATAATACGGTTCAATTCAAACTTATCGGTTATGTGTGCTATGAATGTCTTCAACGCATTCCTCTCCAGACCACGCAATCGGCCGAAGAAGAGGAGTGTTTGCATTCCCGTCAGTCGATCCAAAAGGGCGTCGTTTTGCGGACAATAACCAATTCGTGAGTAAAATGTCTTTTTGTTGTTCAATAGGTCCGCATCAGAACCCAAGTACGCGTTTCCTGAGTCTCTGTCCAGATCTCCGGTTAGTAAACGAAAGGTTGTGGTCTTTCCCGAGCCATTGGTCCCCAAAAGACCGAAACATTCCTCTTTGTTGACCATAAATGACAATTTATTGGGAATTATTACAGATTTGCTAAACTTTTTGGTCAAATTGTCGGCAATCAGCGAAACGCTATCAAAATTTCCATTTCTAATAATTTGTGACACATTTTCATATTCTTGTCTTACAGTCCGGTTTTCGTCGACGTCTTGGAGTTCATGGATATTATTTCTGACCACTCTTTGGCCAAAAATACGTTTAAATATGCGGACAAACAATTGATGCACTTTCATCTCAATGGCTAATATAATAACCATATATAAAAGGCCATAAAGTATAAAACGGATGTAATAGCCGGTCATATAAGTGAACGGATTTAAGTGTTGATAGCAATCGGTATTAAAACTGTCGATACGAAGCGTGTGAACAGTTTTCGCGTAAAACACTTCATATTCCGTGTAATTGGACTCACATTTCGGTAAACAACAGATATTCCTATCGTTAGGCTTATCGGAAGCACACGAAGTGTTGGCCAAACCTTTCGCTTCAAACACTTGACAATAATTATTGTAAAGTATTTGATTCAAAGAAGTGATGCCATTGAAGAATAGTGTGACGGGTGTTAGAAATGAGATCATTTCGAGTCCATAATAGTACATAAATGTCTTAAATTGTGTCTCAATTTCGTATAAATAGGAGTATCTATAAGTGAATCCAATCTGTATAGTGATAGCCATTGTGCCGATTATTATGTTATACAACGATATGAATGTAAAGCCGGTCGCGGGCTTTGAAAAGACAAATGATACTAAATATGCGAATGGTATAAATGTTAAGCCGTATAAAACAAATGTCAAGTAGAGTGTTATCATTGAATAATTGGATCCAATAAAGTATCCGTTTGTGTCAAATACGAGATAAACCAATACATAAACAAGTGAACAAATAGAGTGAACCGTAAAATCAAACAACAAGTTTGCCGACCAATAGATGACCGGATTTAGACCAGACATGAGTTGAAGTAATTTGAATTTAGTCCGCCATTCAGTGATCGGCAATAAGACATATGAGGCTGTGGTGAATGTGAATCCGCACAGGAATACAGTGTAATATGTATTA